TTCCTAATTGTCGTCTCACCTTTCAGACGCAAAACAGTATCTGTTGATGGATATTCCCAGGGTGCGCTTGCTTGTATTCTTCTCATGGGCAACGACGATCGGAAATGATGTATTCTAATTTCCTAATCCGATTCGTAGCCTCCTCTGCTGGGTTGACTTTAGTTTATTTTCAACCCATGATTGTTTGTGGGTGGTGAATATTATTATCGACCATGATTGTGGACGCATTCTTTTGTTTTTGCACCAAAGCCCAGTCGGTAAAACACCGTACTCATCTTCCGAGCATAGGCATAATTAGATCAGTAATCGAGGGAATCTAGGAGAATCTAGATGATACAGTGCGTTGTTAGCACATCCTTCACGAACGCCTGTTTTTAAATCATCTAACGGTGGTCCGAATTTGTAATAATGCACCACAATATATACGACATCTATCTCAGAATTTCGGTTCTCAATCTGAGTTTAATTAGGAACAAAAACATGGTACGCTCGTCTGTTTTTAAACCCAGCATGTGGGAAACAGTTGTCTGTTGATGTCTGTTTACCTTAACACAAAATTGGGAAAGAACACCATAACTGTGGGGTGCTATTTGATCTCGAAACGAGTGAGATTCACACCAGAACTATGCGCTCTGTTTCTGCAAGTTTGCACGGATCTGTCGGTCGCCTAGTGAACTTTGTATGTAGCGTACCTATTGGGCAACTGCGGCTCGTAATCGTCCTCTACACATATGTAGTTCAATACTCGCACCGTCTTTGAGTGTTTGCCACGTGAATTTTTTTTAACTGTTACTGTTTATGATACCGATGGTTTCTTTTCACTTTTTATCTACCAATTATAGAATAAACTAACCCAGACTTACTGTACAGGTTAACGAGCTGTCGATCAAATCCCTGCGATTTGGAGTATAGAACCACGTACGATCTATGTAGAGTAAGCGACAGTGGAGCTTCGTGTGAAGTAACTGTGACTTTGCAACAACTAGCTGACGCTAAAGTTCCGATACATTTTGATCGGGATTAGTTTCGGTTCCATTTCGATCCGACGGTGGATAATTCCGGTTGGTTAGATCGTTTTATTTTCCTCTACCAGACCAGTTGAATTAATATTTTTATCAACTCAAGCTCCTATCCCGTTATACCCCTCTCCTCCCTCACCCTATACTCTTTTCATTGTTGGATTCTAGTGCCAACCTGCGGGATATGCAAGGTGATTTATTCTTGCCGTGCGCAATGCCCGAACCGCCGAAAAAGAACTTTTTCAAAAATCTCCTCTCGGGCACTCTTCCCTCCTCAGTGGACCGGGATGAGCTGTGTAAGTCTGTCGGGTTCAAGCTTACATCTGTTTATGGTATTTCCTCTATTTTATATACTTGAATGCTATTTGGTGTATACATCTATTTCGCATGTAAAATGCTCGTCCGGCGCTCATCGCGCTATATATATATTTTTTCAAGTCATGTACTGAGTGAACAAACGTTCAGGACGTGAGCAGCCGATTTCTTCAGAACCAGTAGAATAGATATCTGTTTTGTAATACAGCAGCTCAGTACACACAGAAAACGCCATCTCTCGAGGTGTTCAACTCCACCGTTTGCTAGATTGGTCACTGCATTTTGTAGAACACCGTCTATGGCGAACTTGAAAATTAATAGAGATAAAGGGAAGCGGTCTGCATTTCATGGAATACGGCAAAGGACGGTGAAGGCTACTCCTTGACCCTAATCCAACCCCAGCTATGACGAGAGCTCTTCAGGATCGATACATAGATCTCAGATACTCCACTTCTCAATAAATAGTTTGTCAGTGCTATCTTGTCTGTGCACTTGCTCAGTATCTCCAACGTTGGACCGCCGAGCTTTTGGTTATCCAGCAAGCCTTATTTCGCCTTCTTTGAATAGAGTTTGGGAAAGACCACCAATCTTTACAGATACGGTGGCAAAATAATCATGGATTGAAAGAGGAATACGGAAGCAGAACAAATAATAATAATACAAAACCGATCAGTTTTGGATAAGGATAACATTGTTTTGCTTCTTTACTGCATGCAATTTTGACTGCTTTTCCTTTTTGCACGTCTATTGACGGGTCGTGTTTCCGTATCCTCGCTACCGATCCGGATTGATCGATATGGATCTTGGAACCACTCAGAATAAGTATAAATCCAGAATATACGGCCATAACGAGTCAGGCCATCGCCCACCGGGCCTGGATATTCGCGATAAGCGATCGGTGCCGATTGATGAGATTAGGGCGATTAGTTTCAGTCTGTCAAACAAGATGTTTTGAAAGGCAGTTGAGCAAACTGGTGGAAGAAGCTCATCACAGTCTAACCCTCCCTGTGTTGTACAGCTTAGTGCAGACTAATGCGTAGTGAAATTCGACGAGATAGGTGCTCCAGTACGATCGGTAATCGTGTACGCAATTGGGGGAATCCGAAATTCGTACCGGCGAGGAGTAAGCAGAGGTCAGAGCGTAGAGCCAACAACAGTTCCCTGTTTCGTGAGCTACGCCAACCTAACCCAAAGGACTTTCTAAATTACCCCAGTTTGATGATAACCAACCTCCTTTCCTATTAATATTTCCTGCGAAAGTCATGAAATCAGCCCTACAGACTTTGTGACTCTCCCCCCCCCCTCTCCTAGAAGCGTTGAGTTCTGTTGTGTTGAATCATTTGATAAATAAATAATGCAAAGTCCTTGTCCAACCCCTTAGATACCTAAACCAATAGTCTCTCATTTCGACAGTTACTGGCGGGTTTTGGGGTATAAAGAGAAAATAGAATGGTTGAATGCTTCGAGGGAACTGTATTCCATGTATTTATGTTGTTATATTGCCTGACTGCTAATCCGCCCTTCCCTCTCCCATTTCGACCGTGAGGCATGGCATTGTAATTCGGTCGAATTCATCCCCGGTCTCCAATTGTATCTCATGCGATCATGTCAAATTACGACCTTTGTATGCATCTCGATGGGTAAATATTCAACAGCTACATACCCATCTGATTACTGTTGCAATACTAAAGTCATCTACGTTTCTCCATTTATCGTGTTTATGTGAACAACAAATTTTTAACACATTTGGGTAGCCTAAAGCTGATAATAATTCCAAAATAATCTAATCCGATTCTCGTAGTGTCGAATTTCTTTTTCTCATCTAGTGCGCTTTGCATGAATTTTCGACTGTATCACGTTGTGTTTATACCCAATTGATTGATCAAAAACTACTCACAGCCTCATTACCCGCTCCCCGTTCTATCAGTCGGAGAAAGTGCATCAGGTAAAAGCATGCCGGGTACAAGCACTCTTTTGCCGAGTGCTCGGATGGACAAGTTGTCCGCGCAGGCCAGCGCTGGCACTTCGGAGATTGCACGTGCACGCAACGCAGCCATCGAACGGGGCGAACGTCTGGGTCAGCTGGACCTGCAAACACAAGAGATGATGGAGCAAGCCAAGGGATTTGGGCGATCCGCTGCAATGCTTGCGGCCAAGTACGAGAAGAAAGACAAACGCTGGGGATGGCCACTGTGATCAATCAGTTCGTGCTGCACACGAGCGCCCGTCAGAACCGTTTTCTGATTTACATACGCTAAAAGCGGTGCGTCCCAATCTGCTAGCACCATCACCCGTCTGAGATAACCCCGTTCCGATTCTTCGGTTGTTTGTTTTGCTAGCCTGTTTAAGCCGTATATTTTCGTTGTTCATTCTGTTTTCATTTTGTTTTCATCAATCTATCGCTGCTGCTTTACCCGATGCTCGTTGTGATTGTTTCCATCGCTTTTACAAATCTCGTTACTAAGCTGATAGACTTGCCGGACTCCGCCTCGTTTGTCTCCCATCCTATTCTCGTTTTCTACGTATACACACCCGTGCAGACACATGATGTAGATTCCTGTCTAAGTGTGCGTGCGTTCGTGCGCTTATTATCTTTCACTTTTGACTTGGTTCGTTCAATGGCATAATCCCGTCATACTCTTTGGGGATTTACTTCTCTATTCCACCCAAACCTCGTCCTATTTTCTGTTTCCCCTGTATGCGCAAACTTGTGACGAGCAGCTTATGTGCAAATCTCGGCCGTTATTCTCCCCCAAATAGATTTGCTTGTTCGGTGCAATCTAATCCAGTCGATTCCGCTGCATCGCGTCTCATTCCACCCCTCCACACGAACACAGTATGTCTCAATTTTACTCGACTATCCCCCGCCCGCTCTGACAAGCATTCCGATGGATCAGCATGCTTCTACCTCTATTGCGACCGAGCCCAACTTCCACTGCTACTGCTGCTCTAGCGAGCTACTTCCGGTATCCGCAAACCCAACCGACACACGTTTAGAAACAGTCCTCGTTTCTCTAGTGGACACGAGGGAAGAGAATTTAAATGTTTTGTTCGAATTGTTTTTTTTTCTCCGTATGCCGCATATTTTATGCTCCAGTTCTCCTCTTCCTTGTTACCGTTCGTACATGCATACTGCTGTTGTCCCCAGTGAGTGCTACGTAAAAGCCAGTGAGAAATTTTCAAAATGTTCGAACTTGAATCACGATTTGCTCCAATCCGAGTGTACTCCCAGAACACGATTCAGTCTTTAGTAATTTTGTTTGCGGGAGTGACTTAGCCATGACATATTTATGTGATTGTTTATGACGCGGGGGGTGGGGATGAAAACGAGTGCGCTCACTCGCTCGCTCCAATCAGTCATTCTTCCAGTCTCCACCTGTGTCACTCGAATAGTTCCTTCCATTGCCACATTCCATTTCAGTTGTGGTCAATATCATACGTACAAAGCTTACGATGTAAAATTTGAAATTATTTCTCTCGACCCATACTCCCCCCGGTCCCTGTTGATGCTTCCTGATCTACCTGATTCCATCATCCAATCATTTCGAATTACCTAACTGTGGATTACGAGTCTCATACTGGAGTTTTTTGCTACTAGTTTGGTCCTCTTCATCGCGACGTGATTTATCAAAACATCGATTCTGAATTGTAGCCTGTATTCCGAATGTTTTCTGTCCCTTTTTCGGAAACCGCAATTCTGAATCCAATTGAACAGTTACTCTCTTGTTCTTGACATTATCCGTGCATGCTCTATTGTTCTTAGTGGAGTTTGTGATATTCTATTTTCTGCTCATTTCCTATCATGACTTGTCTGAACAATACTACTACAACTACTCGCATCACTACTGCTACTACTACGACTACTATTACTTCTACTAATACCACCATTACCACTTTTCGTTCTCTCTCTCTCTGTCGCTCTACCGAGATTTCGAGTGTGTGGTGGACATCGATTTACGCATATCTTCGATTATCCCTCTTTCTTGTTTGCGCTGTGGCGCGCTAATGAACTAGACTGGTTGTCAATCGTTATTTGCCAGATCATTCAACTGCAAACCCGTGTCATACTAGCTGGTCTCCCCATGTGTGTCCAACCCACCCTTCTTCCAGATCCTGCGTTTTACAGTGTATATATATATATACACAAATTCTCTATTGGTTCGTCTGTGATGGATGAATTTTTGCCAATTTCATCTGAAGTCATTTGATTGAACCTGTTCAGTCTCCCTATCCCCCTCTCTCCTATCCCTTCCTTCGGTCAACCATTTGTTCCTTTCCACCTGGGTCTACCACTTCTCCGCCTGTCTCACACAGCTCAGTACTATTATTGTTCCAAGAGTTCAACTTTGTTTTCCTATTATTTTGTTCAGCTCAACTATTGCGATGAGAATTCTGATCCACCACCACCACCATCAGTACTACAACGAAACAGCAACAACATTCATCACCGATACCAATACGAATATCATCATTATCATCACCATCATCATCAATATGAGAACAAGTACACCTCGGATTCTGTGACTATCACACTCCTAGTGAAAGTACATTCACCCATGCATTGTGTTTCACTTCTTCCGTACTACATTGTGAATTTGCGTGCGTGTGTCCGTGCGCGATTGCTAGGTGTCACGTAGTCACATGCTCATCCAGTACGATACGCAGCTCTTGACGCCACGGATTGGGAATCACGGTTTCCGGCTGGTGTAGGCATTTCGGTCCAAGTTCCATAGACGTACGGAATCCCGATTGGTGTACACCTTTCACCGACAAGAATAACGTGTCAAAGTTTTACTAATGGAAGATACTCGCAAGCGATTGCTTTTCTTGTCCCATAGAACTTTTAGCATAACCGGATCGACGTACGGGTCACAGAGCGATAAGGACTGTCGCGAATTTTCCTTGTTTCATGTACTGCTACGGATCTCGGAATTTAAGATTTCAGTGTTTCAGCCAGTTTATGCTTGAAACAATCGAGTGTGGGCGTGAGGTAACAAAGAATTCTAAGTACCGCTAACTCGGAGGGCAAATGAATGATGCCGGCATTCTGATCGACAGTCTTGGAGCACTAATTTGAATGGGTGCCCCCTGAGATGAGTGTTGGGCGACAATGTGAACAGTGAACGGCATAGGTGATTAGGGTTCTGTATTATTTGATACACTAAAATCAAGCCCCCTCGAATTAGGCGATACTGCGTGGAGTACGGCCTCAATGTTTCCACATCGGTCTTGGAACGCAATCTCTTGACCAAAGGCTCAAGTTTTCTCAATACTCGCTTTAGCAAACTAACCTGGCCTCACAGCTGAGGGCAACGCACTAGATCAGTTTATAGAACAATCTAGGTCGTTTTGAACTATGACGCCGAAATCCTTCTCTTTCAAGGCATATAGAAGTGCTATCCTCNAACCGTGCATTTCGATGCATTGAATTCGGATATGGGGAGTGAGCAAAACTGTATAAGCATTCAACACATTTACTGGGGTGTGGGATTAACCCCGATGAGGAGGAGAAAGATTGAATTTGATCAAGATGGTCGGTGAAAAAACTTAGATCAGAGTAAGAAGAAATGGGCTGGCACAACACGGCGTCATCTGCATATTTCAAAATTCGTGCGGGAGAAACACGGAACATTACAAATATGAGTGGAAAATAAGTATGGGGATA